GAACAGTCTTGGAACAGCTAAAAATCAGCTAAGTATCATGCAAATTAGGTAATTAATATTCATAGATTTTTACCAAAACTAATCAACTCTGTACATTATCCCAGAGCATCTATGTACCAAGTTTCACCAAAATTTGATAAGTGGTTCTTGAGATAACGGTGGAACAAAAAAAGTGACATACATACATACAATGTACATACATACATACATACATACTGACAGGGTAACTGCAAAGACTCCCTTTTGTGCTTCGCACACAGGAGTCAAAAATGCTTATCAATAGACCTTCAACAGCTTCTGAGATCTCAGAGTGAGAGCCACAAAACTTGTCTTTACCCCTCTAAATAGTTTTTCATTGTCTTCAATCATCATGTCATCTATTTTACTGACCCATGTTAACCATGGTATTATTCAGACCAGCAAATGCGATGACAAGTGAATGGAACACGGACTAAATCTGCACCCACTACTGTCACGTACAGGGCTCCCAGTTGAAGAGATTTTATCTTTGATTTATATGAAATGTATTTGTGCAACAAATTGACAATGAAAATAGAAGTATTTCACAATTTGTTGATGCCAATGTTCATACAGGGATAATCAGTCAATGTCAATGAAAATCTTCTACTTTCCCCACAGACTTACATACAACAACAGTACTTACCAGACTGACCACCCAATGGGGAGGTTCCCGAGGCGGCCGTAGTTGCAGGCGTAGTTGCAGGTGTAGTGGCGGCGATGGTGGTAGTACTTCCACCTGTTGCTGGGGTAGCTGGTGACTCTGTCCTTGCTGCAGCAGGTTCTGGTTGCTCAGCAGCTGCAGGCGCTGGGGCCTCTGCTTCAGCTAACACACTTTCTGGGATACCCTACGATAATCAATCAGTATGATTCCATTAGCGCAATTGACAGGAACAATGGTACAGTCAATTAATTTTTCACATAAAAGCTTGTTATATTAAGTAGCAGCACAACTCCTACATGTATAAGTAATATACAAAAACTTGCCAGATACAACAATAGGCACTGTGAGGCAAACCTTGTGTCTTAATAAAGGGTTAGATATACATGTAACTATTCAGGCTGACCCTTTTAATAGGTTATTTGCATAAGCACATGCAATTCTAAGAAAGCTATGCCATTGAAAAGCTGTATAAATATGTGCCCACAATTGGCGTTATGGTGTCTGAAAAAAGGCCGTCGGCATTATTCATTTTTTTTTAAGACTATGGTTTTGTTTTGACATTGGTTATGAATTACATGAGCTAAAAATGTTTACATTTGTTGCAAAATTGTCTTGAAAGGTCTGAGGGTGCTTGTGGTAAAACAAAGCCGCATGCAAATGTTTTTACTCTTTACACAATGCATTATGTTAACATATAACAAAACCAACTGTGAAGCTTCACCATTAAACTGTTCATATTAACATCATTCCCCCAAGACTACCAATTTGAAATTACAAAACAGGAATTGGGGTATCCGAACTTTGACCAATTAGCAATTTAGAATCATTATTTCCATAGAAATTAGTTTTGGTGCTCGCATATTTTGTTTGCTTTTTGTAATTTAAATTTATTTGATGGAACTTTTCTCTTAGTAAAATATAGAATTTCTGCATTTTTTTCCTGTTAGCTGCATCGATTTCAAAGTTATGTACTGTAAAATACTTTACTTTAGCTGGAATTAATTTTGTTGAATTAATTTTCACTGATTTCTGACCAGTTGAATGTAAAATATAAGAAAAAGGTATATTCGCTGGATTTTATTTTCACTGGATCAATCCTTTAGCGGAAATTAATTCCAAGCGAAAATAAAGTATTTTACAGTAACTCAATATTGTTAATGCACTACTTACACTCAAAAGATAATCTACAGCCCTATCTGGATTATTAAATGCAGCTCTGAGAGCTCTCACTACTGGATCTCTTTCATAACCCATATTCATTAGTTCTGCAACTACATTTTCATACGCAGCGCCAGTGAGCAGCGTTGATTCTGCGGCTGATAATGTAGAAGCTAGTGATGTACTTGCTGTCGTGGTGGTGCCTGCTGCCGTCTCTGTGCTTGCACTGGCACTGTAATGTAAACACACAAATAAAATTAGAGCAAAGTAGCTTGTAGCCCAGAATCTATGCCAAGTTTCATTTGATATACGCCACCTCCACTAATTCCATGTTGCGACACAAGTTTCTCAATATGATCAGCTAGTGCCTATAAATTTGATAGCTGTATATGAGATTATGCGAGAATTTCTCGTTTGCAATATTTAATATGGTTTGCCCTGTATATGTTAAAGCGGGAAATGAGTCCCAAGCAACGATAACACACGCTAAAAACGCAAAGGCTCATGAGTAGATGCTTGTTTGTAAACAATGACACGCTATGCCCATCTGACACATGCGCAGGTGACGACTCCCCCGCTTTAAGGTAGGTGTATCATAGAATAAGGTGGGGATATCATTACATAGGTAGGGGCAGAACACGGCATAAGATTGCAAGATGCATACATTTGCATCGTCGGAAGATCACTGCATAGAGTGGGAAGACCAAAGCATAGGGTAGGGAAGGTCATCTGCACATACAGATTAACCATATATACAAGTTGACAGTACACTATTGTTAATTTATTTACATGAACGTCAATCAAATCAACCTGATTAGATTAGTTAAATTGCTAGAAATCATGACTGCAGATCCCTGCTTATTTTGCTGAATGGTTTCGCCCTAATTAAGACCACCACTGTCACTTTAATAATGGTATTGGTAAAAATGGTAAGTTAACAGTTCTTGTAGATATTTGTTATTGAAAATGTTAAACACTGAAGTATGAACAAGTTAAAGAGTGCCCTCTATTGATAGCATGACAAAATGTAACATAATAAAAAAATAAAAGAAAATGGTAAGAAAAAGTAAAAATGAATAATTATAGGATTCCTTATTCCTTATTAAATAAGTTTCTAGCATGGGATTTAGTATCTTGTAAAGCAAAGGTCTTAACATTACACTATGAAATTTCCCAATAGACACTATATATAAATATATATATATATGTACTTAAAATATCTTTCAAATATCACCAAAAATAGAATTTTTGGAAACAAGCCAAAAATGACTATGAACATAGTGTTTTATTTTTAAAGATTTTTACAACATCCCATAGTGTGTGATGTATAAATCAAAATGGGTAAAGTGAAATTCTAAACCACTGTAACTTGGTGTCAGCCGAGTGCAGTGTAGAGTGAGTGGAATGCCGCATAGATTCTGAGCTATGTAGCTTATTATTGCAGTTGCATTTTAACCTAAAATTCATGAGTTGGGTGTGCAGTACATAATAAATACCAAGTGAAAAGCATGATGCTTGATTGGCCCCGGTTTCAAAAATGTTTGTGTTGCAATATTTATTGTGATCATGATGACTCAATAAATACTTCGAAGATGTAGTGTTCAGAGCATGTTCAAATTTTGTGTACAGTAATATATTTCACAAGTGTTGCATGGGACATGTACACAGCACAATGACTGTGGAACTTTATGTGTGCATGTAAAAGTGCAACAAGAAGGTTATAAAAACAGTGTCCATTTAGAAGTAGGTACAGCTTATCAAATAAATGATCATTAAAACTAACCTTTCTGTAGGTGGTTTATCGTCTATTTTCTCTTCTTTTGTTTCTTCTTTTTTCTCCTCTTTTGGTTTCTCCGCCGGTTGAGAAGGTGCTGTTGCTGGCTTGCTTTCCACAGTTGATTCTGTTTTAGGGGCAGCCTTGGGCTGGTCAAAATTAAAAATATTAGCAAATATTTTTAAACTTAAAGCCAAAGGCTAATAAGCCATCAACCAATCTCCTAACTTACTGGCCACAATTTTTAAGCTGTATAATGAACAATCCATTCTTTTAAACATTTTCTTAGATTATAGGTTTGGATGTGATAAAACCAGCTAGACACACTCACATTAGAACCAACACTAATCACAAATATTAGAAATATTTGATTCATTAATATTAAAAAGTTCATTTCTGATGACACAATATTTTAGGAACATTGTTGGTGGTACGTTTTTTACTTTGCCTTCCACCTATAGAAAACAAGTCATTGAAAATGACACAGTCCCCGTTAAATTTTTGAAAGTTCTCTTTGTGCTTGTCATATTAAAGCGGGGGGTTGTCGTGAGCGTGTCCTTGAAACTTGAGTTCCAAGTAAATTGTGGAAATATAGTAGTAAGTCCAAAAAGGACATCCATCCTAGCATGTATAAAGTACATGTATGTGCCAAATTTGAATGAAAACTGACAGAGCACTTCCAAGATACCGCATAAAAAAACAAAACAAGATGCCTGCCAGTTGACCATCTTTGATCCAATTGTGAAATAAATCGTCATGGACGAGTAACCTAACATGTATAATCTATGTACCAAGTTTGAATGACAACTGACAAAGCATGTCCAAAATACAACATTTTCAAAAAAAAAAGATGGCTGCCAGTCGGCCATTTTTAATCGAATCGCTAAACCACTGCATGTGCATATGTCCCAAATAAAGTACTAGGCACATGCAAAGAATGAACGGAATCCGGACGGACGCACAGCGCACGAACGGAGACCGAACGGGGACTAATAAAACACTTATTTACATCTTGAAAGACATGAAATTGAACGCATTGTACTCGACCGCGTTAGCGCCCATGCCCAGGAAAACGCCCACCTCCCAATTTTTATATTTGGGATCACATTCGGCAAAGCGCCCACCCCTTCAAAATAAATTTAAAACTTGGTCTTGCGTATTGAATCTTGATAATCGTTTCTATATGATACAGCATGGATATCGACCGCTGTGAATATGTTGTGAATGTGTAGACCACAGTAACCGTGCGTAAACTACGCTTCGACAATGACCTGTTAATACAAGTAAAGTGCGGTAAATATTTCATGCCATATTCAGTTTACCTCTCAAAAATGGCTAGTTACTAGTTTTTTGGAAAAACCATGTTGTTTATTCGCAGAAATCAATTCCAACAGATCGTACTTCGACATAGATAATTCGTTTCCGCATTGTGTTACCGGAAAATCTTCGGGAATTTCCGAAGAATTGCGTCGGTACAACACAGCATAACCAATTTGACCCATTAGGTCAAAGGACGCTGCTGCAGGTCAAGTCTGCAAATGCATCATGGCGGAAAGTAATTTTCATAGTGAGTTTGCGTACGATCCAACACCTTCGTCAGTGGAGATAATGAGAATTTTGACTTTGACTGTGTTCCAACAGACTCTAATTTTTTTAATTTCATAAATTCTGGTGGTACGTAATTAATATTGTAATAAAATATGCATATTTGTTGTGATCATTTCTGTTTCTTCATTGTGAAAATCAATGACGATGCAACTAATTTCGTAATTTGCTTTTCCCTCAAAGACGTAACCTATCACAAGATGAATCAAAATTTTCATTAGCACTCTTTTTCGAGGGGGGTGCTCGGGTAAGCGCCCACCCCTAAAAAAATCATGATTTTCAGAGTTGAGGCCCCTGGTCGCTAACGCGGTCGAGTATGGTATATATGATGAAATTATAATTCAGTACATTACACCCATATGATTCAATACTTCATGTTTTTTTTATTTTTCACAAAATTTTTTCACTCAAAATTCGACTGGAAAAAATAAAGTATATACTGTATACAATTTCCTTATTGCCATTTCTATTAACAGATATCCTTGTGAAAATGCAAAACAAACACCACCAACAATGTTCCTAGGAATTAACAATGTTGCATGCAGCACTGACCCACCACACTTACTAGTACCCAGGTTTAATCTGCTGACGTGTACACATTTTAAACTACAGTGTTAAAAATTCCCATATAAGCCTAGTTAGATCCTTTTGCAAAAAATCTGTAAGCAGGTTTTTCACCTTACCTTTGTAACCATGACAACTACAAAGTTTTCTTCACTCATATTATAATCACTAATCAGTTTATCATCTGCCAATATTCTTCCTGCAGGAAAAAGACAATGTGATTTTAACAAATTATTAGTAGTATACTGTTCAGGAAAGTCATCATATGACACATAAGAAACACAAAACGTAAGACTCACTGGCCAAAAGTGAATCTTTGTTTGTGATGTCACTTAGAAAGGATCATTATGAAACGCTCATGAAACATTTCAAAAATGTTAATTAATGTCAATGTTCAAAACTTCCCATTAAAGAAACAAGCAGCCTATCGGCTGAGATAGCTCCGCTGTTAGCAATGCACATTTCAATTAAAGAACT